GAAATCTGAGCACCTATGAACATGTCCGGAGTTTCGTGAAGATAACACAGATTATATCTCATAACAGACGAGAAAAACCTAAAGAACTCACTAACTAGCTCTTTTTTTTATATACCAGTGTGACCCTCTTTGAGTCGTCGTGTTGCAGGGCCAGTGTCAGGTAAACTGGCACAGCCACACACGAACATACATACATACATACAGACATACAGACATACAGACATAAGACATACATACAGACAGACATACAGACAGACAGACATACATACATACATACAGACATACAGACATACAGACAGATAGACATACATACAGACATACAGATACATACAGACATACAGACAGATACATACATACATACATGACCGATACATACATACATACATACAGACAGACAGACAGACAGACAGACAGACAGACAGACAGACAGACAGACAGACAGACATTCACGGATGTATGTTGGTATACTTACTCAATAGCTAAAAAATAGTACAACGTACACAGTTTGATGCGTATTCTTTACCGGGCGTTGCAGAACCACCTCCAGCCATTTTTGGTTTGTCTGGTTTGATTAGGTAATTATACGCCTGGTAGTTTGCCATACAACAGACAAGCCAGTGTGTATTTGTGTGTACCAATGTGTGTCAATGAGAGAATGACAGATGCTGGCTCACTTACAGCGATGTTTTGCACTTATCTTTTTGCAGATTCTGATTAACTTCAGAACTGTAAATTCGCACGCACTCGGGCATACACACACAAAACCACACACACAATCAAACACGCAACCGCATAAACATACAGGCACACACAAAACATCATACATAAACACAAATACACGAAACCATACACACCAACGCACACACTACCACACACACATACACACATAACTAAAACATTTACGCACTTGCAAATGTGTTGCTTTTAATATTCGACTGTCTTACAGATTTGGCTTACGTGTGTATAGACTGTACTTCTCATCATCATCACACATTTGATTTTGCCAAGTTCAACCACTACCTAGAAAGCTGGTCTCTCCTAGATAGCATCAGTTATAATTATGGCTCCTGTTCATGCTGTTATTTCTTTGTGCGTTTCTTAATGTTGGTAATTCTAGCCTCCCTCTCTTTAGAGCCAAGTTTTCTGCATGTTGTTTGTAGGGCCCTCATCTTAGTGCTGATTGGTTAGTTTAGTGAACGTGAACGTTGTCGTGTTGCCTCATTATAGTTTCAATTACTGTCAGCTAGGTGGATTGTTCCATCGTGTGATATGTCGGTGGTTTCCACTACAACATATACGGGAAGGAACTTAGTTGTTGTCCTAATTTTGCTCTGGCTTTTGAAGTGTTCACTGTATGCTGTCTTTATCATTGTCTTCAAATGAAATATTTTATGCCCTCAAACTAGTGCTGGGTAGGTAAAACTTACTCTGTACTATGCTGATTTTGTAATACTTTAGGTGGGATAATGATTCTTTGTAGATCATATAGAAGAGGTGACCGAGGGGGGGGGGGTGGGGAAGGGAGGGTACGTGGTCTTAAGGCATGGTGTCTGCCTCGAGTGCTAGAGGTTACCGATTCAACCCCCAGTAAGGGCTGGAATTTTTTCACATGGACTTGGACTTCTAGTAATTCCCACTGGTGTCTGGGTAGTGAGATCGGACGCCGGTGGCATTGTTACGGACGTGAAAAAAAAAATTCATTTGCATTTAGAAATCGAAAACGGCACTGCCCGGGCAAAGTTTACAGTTACAAATCTATACAAGTATTTTAGGATCATCGCCGGTGCTGCGAAGCTTGTGCACTGTGCTGAGCTTTTTTTTCTGACTCAGACTTGAGTTAGAAGAAAAAACGGAGCACTTATGGGTTACTACCCGTGTGCCATGATGTTGATTCGTTGCCCAAACCTCAAACCTCAAGCCTCTGTATAGGATGTAGGCCACCAGTCGAGGTATTCATCGGGCCACTTATCCAGTGTCTGTCTTGATCGCTTCATCAGTTCTTTCATAAGTTTTCTTGGGAATCGTTGCCCTGCCTCTCTCACCTGGTCTTGGTTTTGGAGTTGCTTGGTCTCTTTAGTTTTGTTGTCTGGTTTAAGAGGTCTTACAACCTTGACTAGTTTTGTACTAGAGCTGGTTTTTTTTTTTTAATACCGCTTAGCATTGTCCCAATCTCTGCCTTGAACTTTTCATTGATGTTGCCTCGTAGGCCACCTGTCTTTTGACTTCTAATGTAGTTTTCAGCATGTCTCTCATCGCCTTCATCTCCCTTATTATTTGTGTGTATGGTGTAAGTCTGCAACTGCTTTCTGATGTCGGAGGTGTCGCTCCTGTGTGCCTCATACTTTCTGTAAGCTTCATTATAGGGTAAGTTCTCTTTTATGGCTGTTTTGATTGTCTTTCTTCACTGCTGTAGATACAGGCATCTCAGTTATCTACCGCTGTAGTCATGAAGCTCTGAGCAATATCTACATATCCTTTTTTTTGTAGAGGCAAGTTTTTCTGGAATGCCATGACTTCTGGCAGCGCGAACATTGTAGTATTTTGGGAAATATTTTTTTGGTCTTTGTGTTTTCGTGTCGAAAATTACTTTGCCCAGGATATAGTGGGCTACCATTGTCACCAGGGTCATTGTAGTAGGTCTGTGTCTGGATCCCAGTCGCTCCACCTTGCTGATGTGTCAGTGGTTACCTTGTAGTTTTAACAGCACACATTGGCGCCTCAATCTGGGTGCTCAAGCATATCCAGCTCTTTCCATGTCCAGACATTGTTTGGAGGGTGGGGAGGGAAGTGTGGCTTCAGCCAACAGTTTTTAAGGAGCAGAGCAGCGCCCCCTCCCCCTTTCCCTAAGAAGTCATTTTATTATTGTTAGGAGATTTTTTCAAAGGAGCACAACAACCACTAATCATAAATTATGAACAAGAACGTAAATGGATGGCGTTGATCATTAATTATAATGTATTTGTAAATGTATCGATGAGCAATTCTAACTCTTGATAAACTGGCTGTTAGGCTGATGTTTGCCAGACGAGGAAATCGTCAAGTTGAATGCGCGATAGTAAAAAAGATTATTTAAACTCAGAGTTAGTAAGAAAGTTCACTCTTGGTTTTGATCCTGCTAAAGTCTGGTTCTGTGGCGCTTGAAGTGTGTGAACTGAATGTATCCATGACGTATGTGGATATATGATGAGGCTGCCGACCTATTTCCCGAGAAAACCTGGCTAGGCTGGTAGCAACTTCAAACTGGCATGGATGAAAATCGTCTGCTGTGAGTCTGAGTGTCTCTGAATGTGACTTTGCGAGACCTGAAGTGCCAACTAATGAAGGTGTTGAATGCTAGAACTTTATTGGGGTAATCAACCTAAATATGATTATTTGTGATTACTGTGAGAGCCTAGACAACTAATCTCTGGCTTATTGACACAGATTAACATTGTTAGAGCTAAAAACAGTTCAGTGTTCTCGAAGTTTTTCTGTCAATGTCCCATACACAAGAAGAAATGCATTGCACCACCCCTCCCCCCCCCCAACCCTTCCCTCATACCTTGTATGGACGTTTTTCAAACATTTGTTCACTTATTATTTCACATACATTATTACTAATGTTTTAGTGGTGTATTAATTACTATTATATTATTATAACACTGTATTATATTTTTCCATTTAGCAATATTACTATTAGTATCATTATTATGCAATTATACGAAAAGGCTTCAGTCCCTTGAGCCTCGTCTCCACCCCAAAGAAACTCATAGATCCTATCAATTGTTGTTGTTGTTGTTTTATGTTTTTGCCAATACAGAAATGTAGGTTACAGTAGAAAAGTAATATGGTGAAGCTGCAAAGATGCATTCATTGCAACTTTGCAGCTCTTTGAATATTTAAACAGATGTCAGGGAACTGTTACGTCGGAGCTACATTCAGGGTGTAAGTTTTTTTTTTTTTTAGTCACAGTAGAGGTCAAACCTTCAGTTAGTGGACGAGAAAGGGAAAAAACAACACTTCTTTAAATTAAAAAAAAAAAAAGTTGAACTACTCAGCCTCACAGTACCTACAAATCACGAAATACAAAATTAACGGTTTGGACACATGGATAACGAAACAATTACATAATGTTTGTATTGTTTACCTTGCAGGTGTTAGAACTTCAGTTATTGACAGTAATATCATTAACTCAGATAATTCCACAGTGTATTTTTAAAAAAAAAATCTCTACTCAAAGCAATCAATTAAGCATTGTTTTGTCAGATAACACCACCGCCACTCTTTGGACAGGCAGGGCTCAAAGTCGTAAAGAATGTGTAAACACTAAGTACCCCACAGCTTCCCATGAGATTATCCTCGGAGAATCCCCGCGTCCAGGGTCCCAGTCTCTCCTCCAAACATGTGCACACCAGCGATTTATTGTCTGTAAGATTCAAAATCTTCAAATTCTTAAGAGAAACCAAGGCCAGAGGCACCCGTGCCAACTTGGCACTTACAAGGTACAGTTCCGTGAGATCGTGAAGACTGTTGAAGGCATCTGTGGAAATTGCTGAGATTGGATTGCTGCTTAACTTTAAAAATTGAATACTATTTACGGTGGGAAAACTGGAAGAAGTTAATGTCGTAATAAGATTATGTGTAAGGTCCACTGTAGTCGCTGACGAAGGGAAATCGCTTCCGTGAATATCTCTAATATTATTCCAAGGTAGACTGAGTTCGACCGCAGAGTTTAAAGTTGACAGCACTTTTGGGATAAATGGGAGGAGATTGTACCCAAAGTCTATATCGTATAATCCAGAAGGAAGAGAACCGGAGCTTGGTTGTGAAATCAAATTGTGGGATAAGTCCAAATGCTCGACTTCCTCCAAGAAAAACAAGTCAGGTACTTTAGTAAACTTATTGTTGTCTAAGCTTATGTCCCGTAGGGACTCCGAATACGACTGAAGTGCATAACTGAACTGTTCGTCATTATAAATTTTATTGCCACTTAACGATAAAGACATCAACTGGCTTCCGGAAGGAAGATTTAACGTGTCCGAGATGTTGTTCTCTGTTAATGACAACGTTTGTAGTGAAGTCAAGATAGATACAGCTGGCGAAATTGCTTTGAGTTTATTGCCGTCCAGAGACAAACTCATTAACGTGTTGGTCACTAGGTTAAAAGCGCCATCTGGAATGTCTGAGATTCCGTTATTGTCCATACTCAGCTCGGTTAAAAGTGGAAAATACTGCAGCCAGCTGGGCCAGGTTATTAGGTTTGTGTTGTCAATGGTCAGTGTGGTGATAGTCTGACCGATGTGTTTGAGGACATTCTCATCCCAGTCTTCGATCTTAGTGTTGGAGAGGAGCAAAGTGGTCAGGGACTGCAGCTGATGTAGAGCATAAGGGATTCTTGTGAAGCGAGCGTTGGAGAAAAAGAGGGATTTAAGGGTTGTGGATGATCTACTGAAGGCTACGTTGTTTACTGTTACTATAGGGTTGTTGACAAAGGAGAGGGACTGAAGATTCGACGGCAGGCATCCATCAGGTACTGCCTTGATGGAGTTGGTCTGTGTAGGAAAAGAAATATCGAAAACATAACTATATGTAGGATAATATTACAGAGATCACAATAACAAGAGGGAAAACATGAGTGCCGAATCAAAAACAATTATTACTACTCTTAGAACTAGTACCACAACCACTGCTACTACTACTATTGCTATTGTTACTAATAATACTATCACTACCACTACTACTTTTGCAATTACCATTACTAATAGCACTTTTTAAAAAAAAAAAACTACCATACACCGCTTCCTGGATTAAAACAATTACTATTGAAATAACCCTCGCCATTGCTACTACTTCCTCTCCTTCTGCATCTTCCATATTTGAAATCCCATAGCAACATAGGCCCTAAGCCGACTGCGGTCTAGCCCTTTTGCAGATGTACTCATGAAGAATTAGGTTTTGCAGCTAAAATACCCTCCCCTTTAAATCTGAATTATCATTGTACTGTTAAACGTGAAAGGGACACCAGCTTTTATTTTAAAAATAACTAGATGGATACACTGACTGAGATTTTAAAAATATGTTTCCTACAATACTAAAATTTGCATGCTGTTGTTGTTTTTGTTCTGCTTCTGATTTTCCTTCTGCTTCTCCTTCTCTTTCTCCTTCTCCTTCTGCCTCTGCGTCTTCTTCTTCTTCTCCCACTCACTGCCTCAACAATAGGGCCCTAAAACCCACAAAGGCCCAGCATAGTAGGCTAAACCAGACTGCGCAGCGACCGGGTGACAAGCTCCTTGTGGTCCTGGTTCCCGCTCGGGGGTGGGCAGAAAAGCCACATTTCTTCCTGATGTATGGTATTTATCATGAAATCAAGGCCGAAGAGTTGTGATATCCTTAGTACCGGGCCAAAAGTTTAACAACTATCGGTTGTTGGATATTTAAAAAAAAATAAAAATTAAAAACCCACAATGGGATAACATTTGCTAGCCAAGGTACGCTTTTTTCTTAAGAAATGAATACACTGGAAAAAAAAATTGCTCCTTGCCGCAAGGATAACACGTCACTTCGATAATAGGTAAAGTATCCCTATTAACCCCCGTGGCACATCAGTTCCCTTGATACCAGACCTAGTATTACCTTAATGTGTGATTTCGTTAACATTATGCCGACCGCATTTAATTCGCATGACAATTTCTGGTAACCATTTTAGACTGAATTGACATGCGGGTTATAGTCTAACTGTAATAGAGTCATTTATTGATTCCAGTCGTACCAAAGTAGAAGAACTAGTATATTATGTGGTGTAACCCCCTGGTGAACGATCGTCAGATCTCAAGCATCTTGTTTTAGTCACTTCTGTTTATGAGTTTTAATAGCTGATATTACAGCTACCATATGGATATTCATCCTAGTGTATGTAATATATTATGTGATGTCGCTGCACGCCCTGTTAGCCAGATATTTTATAATAAACAAATTACGTTGATCGACGTAACACATTTTGATATTTGCGTGCCAACTTTAGAGTAAGCGATGTCTCATTCGGTATTCTCTTACTTAAAGCGGTTCTCGTGGCCAGTTGGACCTGACTGCCCCGAACATGCAGTCATTTAGACATATAGTGTTTAAAAAATAAAGGACCCTTTTCCACGCCTTTAGGCTAAAGGGCATATAGGGCTAGACCTATATTTTTTATAGACCAATCGGCACAAGATGGGTGATGTGGTCAGCAGCACGCTGGCCGTCTTTACCTCCCGGGACTGCACCTGGTACCCACTCAAGGCTGGGTCGACCTGGGAGCCAAAGTCATTTTTGAAAAAAAGTTATAGTGTTGCACAACTAGAAAATCCGCTTCTGTGTGGATTTCAACTCAAGACTTTCTCCCCCGATGGCGAAAGTTTAGACACTGTCATGCTGCTGTTTCCAGTGATAACTTAAATAGACAGATAATGCATTTGATGCTAGAGCAAGATTTTTGGACTATTCAGCATTCAGTGGTTGATGTAGTCATTATCACACCGGCTGCCTTTTTTACCCAGGCTGTTTCCTTGTACCCATCTAAGGCATGGTAGGCTGGGTCGACTAGGCAGCCAAAGTCAAATACACCTTCTCATTGACACGACATATGCGACTTACGACCATTCGAACTTACACTTTCTGCTCGACTTTCGACCTATGCAACTTACGATCATCAACACTTAAAACTTCTTCCCGACTTACAAGCACACCGAATTATGTACGATAAATACACGTAGCAAAATTGAATTTTTACCCTCATGTACTATATAAAAACAGGTTTAAATAAAAATATTGTTGAAAAATATAAATTCCACTTACGACCTGTTCGAGTTACGACCTGTTAAACGGAACAGAACGTGGTCGTAGATCGAAGAGAACCTGATTTGAAGCTTTGCTACTTCTGAGAGTGAGAAAACAAGTGCTGACTTGATTTCTTGTACGATATTCTGAGTTTAAATTAGGCACAGAACCTGATAATGCCACTTACCGAAAAAAGAAGGGTCGTGAAGGAACTGTCTGAACCGCTGATCAAATGCGGGATTTCATTTAGTCCCTTGTCTTCACAGGAAATTGTATTTCCAGAACAGTCGCATTCCTATAATCATTCCATTAATAAAAATGTACTTTAAACCGTTAATATTATCAATCTTAGTACTATTTAAATCTAACAAATTTAATTATTGACCTACAGTTTCTCTTTTTTTTTCCTTAGCATTTACCAGCTGTAGATAGAAGGTTCTGGTTGTTCGTCCACTTCTGAACGTTGATCTTATTCCAGAAATTTAATTTTGCGCGCACATCCTTTACACATATGTGGTTTATTTGAATGCAGACAGTTGGTTACCACCTGCCAGGCAGATGCACTCCGTTGTCGAAGAAAGCCCACCAGGTGCCGCTTAGTCTATACAATACAGTTTTAGCTCTAAATGCCCACACGCCTGAAAGCGGGGACAATGGTCCTTTACTTAACTTTTATCTCATTGTAGTAATGTAATCGTTACCTCAAAGATCTATTTAACCATATCCCTCAACCATATACCTCAAAGATCTATTTAACCATATCCCTTTACTGTGTCGTTATGTAACTGTCAACTAAAAGATCTAATTAGTCATGTATTTTTTACATTCATTCCAGTAATAGAAGTAAAACCACTTTTAGTTCCAGAAGGTTTCAAGAAAGATACCACAGAGAAGAAATAACTATGATGACAAATTATGAATGCATTATTTTCCATGAAGCAAAACGCACAATGGTAATTACATTGGAGAAGCCAGATTTATTTTGTTTGTTCTGACTAAATGTTAAACTTAAGAGATAACAGTATGCTACGGGAGTCCCCGTATGGTTCCGCGGCCCCACAGTGAGAAAAACGAGATAAAAACCACTGCTTTCTTTAAAAAAAAAAAAAAAAACATGTTGGACACGTTGGCTAAATGTTTTTTTTTTTTTCCAAGTTGGAGTCCATCTGCATGAGAGGCAAGGAACTAACAGTCTGCATACAGACAGGTCAGATGTGTAAAACATATACGCACACAACATTCAGGTTCTGGAACACGCCTAAATTCGTTGGGCAAACAACCAGAACCGTTCGCTAGAGTTAACAGCCGGTGAACGCGAAGAAGAAGTAAGAGAAATCAGACGCAGACAGTCTATGTTTTCGGACATGTTATGAGAGGGACTGGACTCGAGGTTCTGGTAACAGCCGGCAAGATTGAAAGAAAGAAAGAAAGAGGAAAGCAAAGAGAAGATAAATGCCTTCTCTACGATAGAAAAATGTCCTCGTCGTCTTTCTGGCAATCTGAACTACACCGTGTTGGGTACGCGGTTACAAAGTCGGTCTTCTATGGCAGAGTTTCTTCGAAAGAAAAGACCTGCGGAGAAGTTTTAGTTTCAAAGAACTCCGATGGACCCTTTACTTTTCAAATACTCATATTTAAAAAAAATCCATATCAGAATTGTAAAGCCGAAGGTCGAGGGTTGAACTAATATATCACCCCCCCCCTCCCACCCCACCCCCAAACCGCAAGTGAGAGCCGCGAACTCAACATAACCCTTGACCCGTTAGGGTCGTGGATGTGTATCAGTAGAACCACTAACTAGCACGCAAAACCCTCCATCTTTCTCTATCGTTCGTTGATTTGATTTGATTTGATTCAAGAATCAACATCATAGCACTCGGGGCATTCCCATAAGCGCTCCGTCCCCATCGTCAGCAGGCAGCGAAGAGTTCCGATACTAATGGTGCCAGTAGCGTTCTGATTAAACGTCCGTCTTGCCTTTCTTCTAAGCCTCGAACATCTGCCAGAACATCTCGTCACTCCCCCCTGCATCAATCTAACCAGACTGTGGTGATCCATCTGCTCCTCCGAACTGTACACGCTCTCCAACAAGGCACTAACCACGTCTCCCTTACCATGTATCAGTATTCTACCAAGTTGTGCAGAGCCAGCCAGTTTGTCCGCCTGTTCATTTCCCAACACACCGGTGAACCCCCGGTGAAAAAAATCCAGACAATACTCCTTACCTGTGTCCTCCGCAGCGAAGCATGCCACTCTGCACGAAGCATACCTGTTCTGATCTTCGTCAGCATGCTTTCTGAGTTAGTTACAATCACGATGTGTGTGTGTGTCGTGTTCTCTAGCCATCGAAAAGCTGCAGTGACCGCCTCCACCTCTCTATCTTTCGTTTGTTAAACAAGTGTGTAATAATTTAGTTGTGTGTATTCATCGAGGTTATCATTCCATATTTTGTTTTTATCCCCGCTCCCACTTTTTTCGCCCCCCCCCCCCCCACCTTCTTATTCTTCGACAACCCCCAAAGCCCAAATGTTCATTGAGGCACAGCCTTTGCTATCGAACCATGTTTACCTCGTGCCTGAACCGTACTAGCTTGCGATGTTTCACAACTACCAAAAGAGCGCCCTGATATCCAGCAAATTTGCTTATTTTGCCTCCTATATATTTGTTCGTTTTTATGTTCTAAAAAAGTAACGTGAAACTCCTACCAACCTTGTAAGGGCAGATGTCGCCTGCAACATACATCCACAGAAAGGCACACAGCAGCAACAGCATAATATCCTGGCATGATGTCATTGTTTACTTTCTCATTTAGCTGTACCTAAGGGATAAAGAAATTAGTTATTGGCTTTTGGTTCCAGCGGAAAATTCTTGAATTCACTTTTTATGTAAACAAGTTGATTGCATATTCTTAAAGGGAAATTGTAAACCGCCACAGTATTTGACGGCTGTTTGTGAATTTAATACAGTCAGTTTCAGAAGGGGTGCCCAAATTTAAAAATCTGTACCTCAGTAACTGCTTGGTAAAGGTTGTTGACATTTGACATGCGTCCTGTTGATAATCGTGTCTTGTAAGAATATTTTTGAATATAAAAGACATATAGTTTTTATTTTGCCGTATTTACAGCACTTAAAAAAAGGACACAAACTCCATGCAAAAAATTAGCAGTTTGACACTTGATTGAGCAACAGGTACGTTTGGGGGGGGGGGGGGGGGGGGGGCACGTTTCACCCTTAGGTGGGTTATCTCAAGTATTAGTCTTCCGCAAGTTGAGGATTTCTTTTTGTATTTTCGACAGGCAATGAAAATAATTACCGCGCATCGCTGCACATGGAAATTGATTTGCAAACATGTATCAAATACTGTATTTTCTATTATTTAGAGGTACAGAAATGATTCTTTAAACAGAGATAAAAGAAATTCACTGCTTTAAAAAAAGCAATTGCCACACTTATGCACTTGTAAACTGCTAAAATCATAAGGGTATGGGAAATCTAAGGCCACAGCAAAAATCCGTGGTATTCCGTACATGAGTTTTCGAGATATTCGTTAAAGTGTGAGAGAACAATTTTTTAAGCGGACTGTAGACAAGTCTACTTGCAGTAGTTTGCCATTGTTGACACCAACGCAAAGCGTATATTTATTTATTTTGTTAAATTATATGTGTGTGTGTGTCCGTGTACGAACTCAAAACATTCGTGTACTAACCCCTCTTTAGTGAGTAAACTTTGCATCATTTTAAGGGAAATTGGTAGTGACAAAATTACAAACACTAGGATATTGGAAAGAACAGATATTAGTACAGTCTCTTCAATGCTTAGTCTACGATGACTCAGGTGGCTGTGTCACACCTAGAGAATCGAGAATGGCAGAGTCCCTATGGACATTCCTTATGGTGAATCAAAGACGAGTAAATATCTAGGCCGACCGCTACTGTCATATAAAAACGTATGCAAGCGAGACAAGATTTAAGCGAGAATATTCAGTTTCGTCCTTTTTAGGATGACATTTTTTGTTATTTGAATCCCCGCCCTGGCTTTTTTCCAGGGGCTGGAATATAGGCAGGCCATAAATATGGCCAATTGTCTGAACGCGGTTTCTGGGACTTCTCCACGGCGAACCTCATCCACATGGTGGTACTTTGTGTCATCGGGTGTTTATCGCTTGTGTGATGTCCTGGTGGGGTAGAAAGTCAGTCAGCCATCAGACAAGATTTGGAGGTTGACTCGTGGAAACAAAATTCAAGGGCCTTGTTGTGTGTGTAATGGGGGGGGGGAGGGGGGTTTATCAGTAAGAGAAGGGGAATAAAGGAAGACATGATTGCAGAAAGGATGAGAGCTGAGCTTCTGAGAAGAAACCGACTTAACACAAATGTTGACAACAATGGTTCTAAAATCCCATGCGCTAATTGCAGAAGACTTTTCTTTACACTAACGGGTCTTGCTAGTCACACTCGCCATCGCCATGGGCTGTGAGTTCCACGTCTCCTCATAGGACAATATAACACTGTCGTCTGGAAAGACGGAAAGGTGCTAATCAAATCAATCGGTGGTGACGGAATTCTTTTTGACAAATCAGTAATATTGAAACGCTTGCTTTTAATTGTATTCCGTATAGCTCGCACACCATGCAAAGCTGCTGGTCCCAAGCTGGAAATCATCGCATAAAGCGACGTATGCCTCTCTTCTTAGATTTCACCTGCAGTAAACTCACCCTGAAATGCTTTGATTGTTCGTCCATTTCTGGACATTGATCTCGTTCGAGATCTTGAAGGTTGAGCGCAAACTTAATTAATCTGGTTTTTTTTTTTGTATGCAGACTGTTGGTTTCTCTCCTCTTTGGTAGGCACACTTCGATTTCGGATGAATCGTCCCAAATCAGTTGCCTTTCATGAATTTAAAAAAAGGTTCCAACTCTGCGAGGAGCTGAACCCACCACCTCTGAACCACAAGCGGGCGTCTAGCCGCTACACCATGGAGACTTCAAACATTAACTTGTATTCATATGTATTAATGGAAGCCTTCGTGGTGTAGCAGCTAGACGCTTGCCTGCGGATCGGTAGGTCGTGGATTCGAGTCCTGACAGAGCCGAAAACTCTTCGAAAATGACTTTGACTCCCAGGTCGACCCAGCCTTGAGTGGGTACCAGGTGCAAACCTGGGAAGTAATGGCTGCCGGCGTGATGTTGTCTATATTACCCACCAAATGCCGATTGATCAATAAAATATAGTTCTAGCCCTATATGCCCGGTACGCCTAAAGGCGTCAAAAAAAGTCGTTTACTTTTTTTTTTTAAGTTAGTGTAAATGCATACAGTGGCGACAATGTATTTAGAAAGGCCAGCTTTAGAGACCTCGTGTGAATGACGAACAACTGGCTTTAAGAAGGGCATTTTTACGTTACTTAAAGAGCTACAAAATCAAAAACACCTTACCTCCAAATGAAAGCCTCGTCACACTGGAGGGACCTGCTCAGTTTACCCACGTTTACTTTTGTCCGGATTGGCTGAATCAACTGTGTGAAAAGACGTCAAATTAATTAGTTTTAATGTGTAGTTATAAAAGGAAACAACAGCGACAAACTGTTTAGAAAGGCCCGCTTTGGAGACAAAAACAGATAAGAGAAACATCAGAGATAGGAAAGTGATATGTTTACAGTTAAAACATGCTGTCGCTTTCACTTCATCCTAAACTGTTCGCAAACAAGACATAAGCGTCTTTGCCCTGTGCATGGAAAATGTGCCAACTGTTTTGGGAGCAAGACAATACTGACATCTCCAAGGAAGTGAAGACATTTTAAATGGCAAGTGAGTTTTGTAAATCAAAAGAAGTTATTATATTTGAGAATTTTAGCTGAATAATCCCTTGCTAATAATATACATGAAATAATATGAAACAAATACTTTAAAATGTATGTGTATATTATATATATATATATATATGGTGGAAGTGGAAATTTGTGGAGGGTGGGGGTGGGTGACGGCTAAGTATGGAAAGGGTTTGGAGGCTGACCCCTAGATACCTGAACCCCAGCTTCCGGTGCCTTTTTTCCAAGTGTGTTGTTATATTTATTTGTCATTCCACACAATTTAAAACTTTTCCGTTACGCGTCGTGAAGAGAAACAGTCTGCGATCCATTGCTTGTTTGTCAACAATGGCTATTGACAATTTGTGTTGATGTAGAAGCTCTTTAATGTCATCAATCCATCTCCTTCTAGGGCGACCTTATACATTCACATCATATATTGGCAAGTGTAGCGTCTGTGCTGGTAGTTGTTCTCGCTGCATTCTTGCGATATGGCCGAACCATTTAATCTTCTGTTTCTTTGTGAATATAGTGCGAGGTGTTGTTCCCATAGTCTGTCTGATAGTATCATGTCTCACTTTGCCTCGGATGGTTATGTCCACTTTCTTTGGGCATCCCCTTTCAAGTGTTATGATGTCCGTTCTTACACCCTTTTTATCTCCACTCAGTTAAGATTATTATATTGCAGATAACTGTTGGTTACGAATGGACGCAATCCTGGGTATGTTCCTGTTTTGTTTTCACTGGACTATCGGACAGGGCCAACCCCTGTATGTGTGTCCTTATAAGGTAAGTGTGTTAGATAATTACACGCACCAGATAGTGTAGACACCGTGTGAAGTGACATAAATTGTCGTTTTTTTTTTTTTTAAATAACATAGACAAAAAGACTAACTGACAGATAGGAGAGGAGTGATCGAAAAAAAAAATAAGCATTGAAATAACAAAGACACACACAAATATACATGGCCTACATAAGATAAATGGTTAAAGGCTTATGCTTCACCAGGGGATAGAAACGCAGAAGAGGAGGATAAATACCTAACATACCCCCATTATTCTTTTTCGTGTTCTTAATACCTACTACTACTATCACTACTGCTACTATAACTACCTCTATGACTAAAAATACCTCTACCATTGTACTTACAGGGGTGATTCGAGTCCCAACGTCTGAAAGAACATCTTGGAATCCGACATAATTTTCAAGTAAATTTTGTCTGGGAACTCGAACGCTGCCTTGGAAACCCAACACCTGGCAAGTGCCAATCACGCGATTGAGTTGACAATGCAAATGTTTCAGCAGCTCCAGCAGAAAAAAAAAGCAACAAAAGAAAACAGTTTCTTCTGCAGACGAAGAGAGAGAAAACTGGAAGAATAAGAACTGCTGAAATCTAAGATCTTGTGTCCAAGTGATCGGAAACGTTATTCATCTTCCAAGCAATAACCTCCCTAAATCCCCCACCTCTTTTTTTTCCTCCTCCTAAATCTACGAGCTATGTAACAATTTTCATCATCATTATTATCACCAAAATACTGCATCTGCCGTTAAGCGTTGTGGGAAGAAACAGTTTGCGATTCATTGCTTGAGGGCAGCAATGACCGTTGTCATTCCGAGTCGATGTAGAATAGCAGCTCTTGAATGTCATCCTTCTAAAGTTTCCTAGAGCGGCTACTTGCTTTCACCTCAGATCTTTTCATGTTTACCGCCTGCTTTGGTGGCTGTTCTGCTTATATTTTGTATGAAAGTAAAGTAAATACAATTTTTTTATCTTTTTTTTTAAATTTATCTGAAAATGTTTGTATTAAAATATGATCATTATATGTTACTATACTTACAGGGTAGTGTATTCATAAAAACATATTTGAATATTAGAGTTTTTTGCACCCAGAAACGGATTAATTTAGTTTCTATTATCTTCAGCAGAAAAAAAAAACACACATTGCACTGGAATGCTAATGATTTGGAATACGAGCATCCGTCTCGCAAGGATTATATTCGAACTCCGAGGTACCAAAGTAATTACATCACCCAAACCACTAGAGCTAAAGTAATAATTACAACCAGTACTGCTACTAGCAGAACAGCTACTGTTACAAATATAGCTACAACACTACTATGATTAATATCATTATCACTACTACTACTACTACTACTACTAGTACTACTACTACTACTGGGTGAGATCCACGATAATCTCCCCCAAACAAACTAGGTCACGTTCCATTCTTACATTTTTTAGACTGGTCTGCTGTTAGGGGGTTATAGGTTGCCGCTTTGTTGTTTCCTTTCTGACTTGTCTTGCATTTACCTTTTTCTTCCGAGAAAGAGAATGCCCGTGACATAGGTTGCAGCACTCTCTAGGGGAGAGGTGTGTTAGACCTAGTTGCTAAATGTTTTTGTAGTGTTAAAAGCGCTGGCGTGCTTAAATATACAACACGTGATATTAACGGCATTGCTGAACACCCCCGTAGCAGTGTGCGAAATTCGGGTGACTAAAGGTCGACCAATCAGAGTTGAGCTAGTTTGTACATGCTCGTTTCGTGGGGAGATTATCATGGAACTTATCCTACTAATGCTTCTGCTGCTGCAACTACTAACGCTTCTATTACTGTTACTAATACCACGTCTTCTTCTTCTTCTTTCCGTCTTCTTTTACCGTTTCGAGTGTCGAGGGAGATATAAGGTCCTGCTTCGTGGTCTTCTGGCTGCTTCGAGCATAAACACATCTTGATGTAGAGTGTCACTGACGTTATCTTCCCATCTTGTTCTTGGCCTACCTCTCGCTCTTTTGATATTTGCCTTGTATAGTATGGCATCAGAAGGCACTCTCTCCAGGTGTGCAACACATTGATTTGCTGTCTTTGTAAGTAATTTAGAACTGGTTCTGTGCCCACTTTATCTCGTATGACCTCATTCCTAATTTGATCTCTTCTAATAATACTACTGGTACTAATTCCACCTTCTCTACTTCTACCATATTTACTGCCATCGTTACAACAGATGTTACAATCAATATGTTTATCCCTCTGCATATGATTTAAGAAAAAATTCTTTATTTGGAAGACCGACAGCTACCAAACTGCATGTTTGCAGGAATTGCCGCATTAGCGCAGTCGATAAGAGGCTCGCTTTCAAATCCAGCTGCGACTCGCTACATCCCACGGTCGGTGTTCGAAAATGAGCGGCTCCCGGGTTCACCCTGCCTCTAGGAAATAGGAACCAGAGTTAACACTCTGGGATAAATGGAGGAACGTCGCTGTAACTACAGAGTTACGTGCGAACAATTCTTATCAGCTGTCCGTGCTGGTGGCAGAGCACTTATGGTTTATAACCGTGTGAAATAACGCTATTTCATATCTCCCGACTTTACCTTTACCTTTTGCAGGAATGTGTCTGTGATGAAGCTGAAATTCAGTGCGATGATCGAAACCTGACGACAATTCCTCAGAGAGACATGAACGCGCTCATATATATGGGTATTCTTAATTTCGACGTAAGTCTCTAAAGTAACATTTATTTGGTAACATCTTAGAAAGATCAGTAGGTCCCTAAAAGGGTCGTCATGTTTACTAGTTTGGTCATTTTTCTTTTTCTTTTTCTTCCTTTGCATTCATCCGAAGATGTAATTGTATTGTGTCCGTTTACAGCAAGACTGCGATATTTGCACCTTTCGACCGACACATCTGACTTCTGCAGTCACAAGTTGCCCTGGGGAAGTCTTCCTTCAGTCAATTTTTGACTTTATAATGTAGACGGCGTAATCTTTGTTTAGTTTGCAAAGGTGAATTGCAGATGTGTCGAAGATATTGGGATCAGACTATACTGCGATATAAAGATGCCTGCCAGCGGGACATAGATGATACAGGAATTGAAACGCATTTTTTGGAAACATGATGCTGTGAAACATGATGCTGTGAAACATGATGCTGTGAAACATGATGATGTGAAACATGATGCTGTGAAACATGATGCTGTGAAACATGATGATGTGAAACATGATGCTGTGAAACATGATGCTGTGAAACATGATAGAAGAGGACTGCAGTCCAAAAGTGGGCGAACAACCTGAACTGTTCGTTGTTTACAGCTGGAGAACGCGTAGAAGAAGACAAAAAACACGGTAAGACTACAGTCACTCTGAAATCCCAATACTCCGGGCATCTGCTTATGGTTTCATTGTGCATTGTTTCTGTTTGTGATTGTTCAGATAAATGCCATTTTGATCCCAAACACGTCTAAAATTGATGCAGCAACACCATCTCCTGCGTTTCTCCTTTTACATATGAAAAAGGTACCTCGGACACACTTTCTGTTACTTGATTAACTCCTTTTACATAACAATCATTGACTCATTAGGGTCGTGGAGGTGTATTGATGGAAGCACTAGAACATAAAACCCGCCATCGTTCTCGTCTGATGCTTGACGAATAAATGTATGATAACTTAGTCCTGTCCATTTCTTAAACTTGTCATTCCAGATTCTTCTGTGCCCTCCTCTTCTTAGACAACCCCCCAATGTTCCTAATGTTGAAGATCTGTTGTAAACTCACGTCCTTTCGTTAGACTATCTGTCATGAACTCACGTCTTTGCGGTGGAATATCCGTCGTGAACTCACATCCTTTCTGTCGAAGGTCTGTCGTGAAATCACGTCCTTTATGTGAAAGATCTGTAGTGAACTCAGGTCTTTGCAGTGGAATATCTGTCGCAAAATCAGGTTTTAATGGTGGAATATCCGTCGTGAACTTGCATCCTTTCTGTCGAAAGTCTGTCGTGAAATCATTTCCTTTATGTAGAAGATCTGTAGAGAACTCAGGTTTTTGCAGTGGAATATCTGTTGTCAACTCACGTCCTTTATATGGAAGATCTGGCGTGAACTCACGTTCTTTATGTGGAAGACCTGTCGTGAACTCACATTCTTTATGTGAAAGATCTGTCGTGAACTCACATCCTTTATTTGGAAGATATGTCGTAAACTCACATTCTTTCTGTTAAAGATCTATCGTGAACTCACATTCTTTTTTATTGAAGATCTGTCGTGAACTCACATTCTGTATGTGGGAGATCTGTCGTGAACTCACATTCTTTATGTGGGAGATCTGTCGTGAACTCACGTCGTTTCTTGTGAAGATCTGTCGTAAACTCACATTCTTTATGTGGAAGATCTGTCTTGAACTCACGTCCTTTCTGTTGAACATCTGTCACGAACTCACGTCTTTGCTGTGGAATATTTGGCGTAAACTCACGTCTTTGTGGTGGAATATCCGTCGTGAACTCAAGTCTTTGCGGGGCAATATCTATCGTGAACTCAAGTCCTTTCTAAGGTCTGTCGTGAACGCACGTCCTTTATGTGGAAGATCTGTCGTGAACTCACGTCCTTTATGTGGAAGATCTGTCGTGAACTCACGTACATTATGTGGAAAATCTGTCGTGAACTCACGTCCTTTATGTGGGAGATCTGTCGTGAACTCACGTCCTTTATTTAGAAGATCTGTATGAACTCACGTCCTTTATGTAGAAGATCTGTCGTGAACTCAAGTCCTTTATGTGGAAGATCTGTCGTGAACTCACGTCCTTTATGTGGAAGATCTGTCGTGAACTCACGTCCTAAATGTGGAAGATCTGTCGTGAATTCACGTCCTTTATTTTGAAGATCTGTAGTGAAGTCACGTCTTTGCGTTGGAGTATCTGTCGTGAACTTACGTCCTTTCTGTCGAAGGTCTATCGTAAACTCACGTCCTTTATAAACTTTTGTGACCCTCTACTGCAATCTTCGATAAATGTCTGCCTGGCGACTTTCTTAAAAAAAAAAAAATATAAGTCATAGCTATTTTTGCTTTACTTGAGTGATTTTGGATGAGTCCATCCATTTTCAGAACGTAAAGAACGGAACCTTGGCATTAAGGGGCGATAAGCAAGTTCTCTTTTATTCAATTGCCAGTATTTATTACTTGATATGGGATGATCATTTTGAGCGCAGGCAATTATGCCCGGATGCTGCACGAACAGCTTTCAAATTACAGCTCGTAATAATGCGGTCAAATTAATTTGGGAACAATCAGTAAAATTACCTCAGGATGGCTGCTGCATCGTTGGACTGAGCACGCATAGGAATGCCCAGTCTGCAATGACAACGTTTGTGATAGTGTAACGTATTATACTATACAAAACGAATTAAAACAGGAAATTGAATACAATGGATGGACATTCCATTCATGGACAATGAATAGGGCACTGAAACAGAAAATAACATGTGAAATGCGCAGTCTCCGAAAAGTCAATAAGAACACTAGACGAGACAAGGTTACGAATACCAGTATTAGAGAGAAAGTTTGAATAAGAAAATGTCTGGATTAAATTGACAGACATAGAATGAAATGGTTCGGCCATCTAGTGAGAATGCAGCCAGTCCAGACTGCATATGAGATCTTTTACAGCAGAACATCTGGTAGGAAGGCGAGAGGAAGACCAAGAAAGATATGGATAAATGGTTTAGCTGAAACCTGCAAAAAGATGATCAAATCAATCACCCAAACCACCCGAGAAGCGCAAGACAAATACAGAGAACCACGACACTGGGCTACAACCTGGTATCAGTGAGAGGCCAAAAAACAAAAATGATGGTAACAGACGAATTCAGCAGAGCAAGCAAGGAAATACCTACCATTTGTAGAATAATCAATGAACGTATAGTGATTTAAGGAATAATAAAGTAGTTTATTTTGTACATTCTTGTATACAGGGAAATCTGTTGACCTCGATCCCGGCTGGAAGTCTCCCTGCAAACCTGCTTTCGCTGTCACTGGATAGGAACCCGCTAGAAAGTATCGACGATGCTGCCTTCGACGAGTCCATCAACACACTGCATTTCCTGAGAATTGAGGGCGCTCGCTTTACCCAGATCCCCGCAGCCTTGTTTCGTTTAAATCAGCTGATAGAACTGAGCATTGATTACACTCATATTCTCGTGTGGGACAACGACGGCATGAAGAAACTCGGAGCTAATTTGCGGTCTTTGAGTATGGACACGGTTGGCTTAACTTCATGGCCTGTCTGGTTAAAGTTCTTTTCACGCTTAACTGACTTAAGTATATTTGGGAGTACTATATCTTCGCTGCCCGACGATGCTCTAGACATAGTTGCTGACACTTTAACAGGACTGGGGCTCTTAAACAACAGCTTCACAAGCGTCCCTAAGGCTTTATCAAAGCTAACAGCCCTCACGTCTTTATCGCTGGCACAAAACAAAATCACAGATATAACTTGGCTTCCAAGCTTGAGCAACCTGACTCAGTTATCACTGAGTGATAACAGAATATCAAACTCTAGCCAACTGAGTGCCGCCTTGCGTCCCTACGCTGACATTTTATCCAACTTTGGGCATCAACAAAAACTTTCTCGTATCCATTCCTGACGTGTCATTCCTCACGCAGATGACAGCTTTAGACTTCACCAACAATCGTATTTCAGATCCAAACTCGGGCAGTGTCCCCGCAGATCTAATCGACCTGAAGTTGGAGTATAATTTCTTGCCATCCATCCCCCGTGTGCTGAAATTTATGAATTCTGTACCCAGCATTGATCTCACTTATAACCGCATAGTTTCCCTTCAAGGAACTGACTTTCCCGATTCAGTGACAGGAATTGATCTTGGACACAACTCAATAACAGAACTAAACGCTAACAGTTTTCCCCCAAACAGCGGTATACGATATTTACTTTTACCTAACAACCCACTTTCCAAAATTTCTTCTTCTGCATTCCAGAACCTACCATCGCTTCGAGAACTTGACTTGAAATACTCCAAACTGACCAGATTACCTCTTGGTCTTGCGTCTCTCAATAACTTAGTATCAATAGATGTTTCCGGCAGCGATGAACTAGTTTGTACCTGCATGGAGAAGAGTTTAGAGTCAAAGATTTCATCACTGTTACCTGACAATGTGGTCGGAGACTGTGGGCAGACGAGTGTATACGTTTTCTTCACAGAACTGAGTCATGATTGCTCAGTAGTTTAGCGAAGACTGACCGGAGATTATGAAGAAGATATAGAATTAGTTTTGTCACTTAACCGACGTATCGTGGATAGAAATCACATTTCTGTCTGGCCAGGAGAATAAGTGTGACTAGCGGAAATAAATGCTCGCTAGATACAGCAGGAGCGACAAAGGCTATTACTGAAAGAAATTATATAACTGGTTTTTAAAAGCACCGCTCTGCACACGAGACAGATATTGCCTGAATTTGTCAGCTAGTAATTTTTTTGTGTGTGTTTAGTGAGTTCAAAAGGTGTTGCTAACTCCACTGCAGTCACCCCTATTTTCAAAAGTCCCTGTATAATGCTGATTTGCACAAAAAGAACGCTCACCAGTCGCGGCTCGCAGATAAAGTTAGTTGCGGTGCTGCTACAGAAACTTTTACCTCCACAAAAGGTTCAGCACTGCGTGAGCGACAGCACAGTCTCTCTCTCTCTCCCTCTCTCTCTCTCCATCTCTCTCTCTCTCTCTCTCTCTCTCTCTCTCTCTCTCTCTCTCTCTCTCTCTCTCTCTCTCTCTACCTAGCGTACAGCTTCTTATCTCCGACACGCGCACAACATCCAAACACAGATTCACGGGAAGTGTGAAATGCACCATTAAAACAAAGATTTTCGTTAAAAAAAAAGTCATAACTCTGATATAGCTTTTATATATATATATAAAATAGAATAGGGGTTGAAAAAAAAATTGAAATGACTTGTATTAAATGGCATAGATTATATCAAGTGAAAAAAAACGAATGTTATAGCTAGCAATGCCCATACAAGAGCTACCACTGAATTTACCCATTATCTACCTAAGTGTTTGCAGTCAGCTGAAAACATAATAGTACCACTTAAAATAAAAAAAAATAACGAGTGGTTTTAAGTACATTAAATATTTTCGTTTAATTCAAAACACGTTTCCAGGGAGCTACGTAGTCTCGAGGCATAGGTGTTCGCCTCGAGTGCTAGAGGTTCCGAGTTCAATCCTCGGTAAGACCTGGAGTTTTTTCATGTGGACTTGGACGTCTAGTAATTCCCCCTGGTCTCTGGGTAGTGAGATCGGACGCCCGCGTGCATTCTTGCTCACGTAAAAAATCCCTTGGTAGTTGGAAATTGAAAAGAGTAGCCTAATGACGCTGCCCGAGCAAAATTTGGAGTTAAAAATCTACCAAAAGTATTGCAGGATCCTTGCCAGTGCTACAGAGCTTGTGTATTGTGCTGAGCTTATTTAGACTCAGACTTGAGTAAGAAGAACGGAGCCCTTTTGGGTTACTACCCGTGCGCCATGATGTTGATCCGTTGTTCAAACCTCAAACCTCAAACCTCAGTACATGTTTCCGTAACAATGTACTTTTCTTTAACAGTAATCAGTTGTCAGCCCCTTGTCAAACAACCCCTGGAACTTAAACTGCTACTTGTACCACCAGCTTTGGTACTTCGTTCCGTTCGGAAGATTGAGGGGGAGATGGGACGCAAAGACCTATAGGAATGTCTCGATGGTTGCATTTCAGTTCACCTCATCTCACCTCGCTACAAGTCGGAGGCCTGGAACACCTCAGGAAACCCGAAGGACAGTAGAAACGGAGAGGAGGAAGAATACAATGACGTTGTAAATTTTATATAGCATACTTCAGAAGCAGCAAAAGCAATCCACTGAAACACAAATGGCAGCAATAGGGGAATTTCCTTTTTGCCTAACAAATCGCTGAATGCCGAAGTAATCTGTTTAGCCGAACTGTAAATAATTCGGAATGCATCATCCCTGTTAATGATGTGCCCGGAATTTAGAATATTCGCAATTGCTGATGATGGATTATTTCGACAAGTTACCTGATTCGTTGTTGTTGAGGTGTTAGTGTTCTGCATTGCTTTTACCAACCATAGTGGAATATGTTTCAGCAACCCGTTGTTCCAGTCGTCGATCAGTTCTGCCCACATATGCAGGCGTTACAGGTGCATTTAAATTGGTATATACAGTTAGATCTGGCGTACGTCGACACTGGTTCTTTTACTGGTGGTGTAGAATCCTACACCACCATAAAAAAAAACCAGTGTCGACGTACGCCAGATCTAACTGTATATACCAATTTAAATGCACCTGTAACGCTGCAATGTGGGAATGCTGAACATTCCACTATGGTTGGTAAAAGCAACAGAACACTAACACCTCAACAACAACGAATCAGGTAACTTGTCGAAATAATCCATCATCAGCAATTGCGAGCCATATTCTAAATTCCGGGCACATCATTAACAGGGATGATGCATTATTATACAGTTCGGACCGTAGAACTTCGACACGCGGAAGCTTCAGCGATTGGCAGATTGAAACCGAACTTTGTAGGCACATTTTACTTTGGTGAAACAGTTTGAAATCTACTCGAATTTGTGTTTCAGTTTCTAGGATTCAGCTATTTGCTTCATTTTAATTAATTGTTACTGAAGTATGCACCTGATGAGATACAGCGAAATATGCCAGGCAATAAATTGTGCAGTCTATTGTTTGTGTCTTCTTTGTTCAAAGATAATACATACTCAAAGACTGCCTCGAATATGACACATTAGGGAAAACCCTTAAGCCAAAAATAAAAACATTAATGGAAAGTGAGATATACGGACAATGGAATACATTTTTTTTTTTCAAACTGACAGGTGAAATTTATACGAGACACAAAATTGCACAGACAATATTTTGCAAGCAAACCGACGTAGAAGATCCAATAAATTAACCATTATTTAATTTTTTTAGTTAAGAGTTGCTGCAGAAGGACACCAGGGACTTAAAATATAAAAGAAGTCATAAATACTGGTCTGACCACAGTTTCCACGCACGTTTCCTGGGTTTAGGGTCCTTACCCACGTCGTTAAACTACTCTCCATGCACGTACAGACCAGCAGTGTGCTGTTGGACATGTCCAGAGTAACAAGGGCTTTGAGATATCCCAGTCCTAATGGTAGACGTGTTAGTTTGGTATTTCTCAAATCCAAATATGCAAGACTCGGCAAACGTTGTAAAGCAACTAAAGAAATTTTATTTAATGGGTTATTGTGTAAGTCTAATCCCTGTAGTCTAAAATTGTCTGGGAAACTTGTATCGGTCAATTCAGTTATTAAATTAAAACCAAGTTCAATCGATGATGTATTTCTGTGAAAATCTGTTTCTCTAATCACTCTTATTGCATTATTTGACAAAGAGATTTGCGTTAGCACAAAAAGCTGTGACAGCATCTTAGGGACATATGGAAAAGAATTGTAGGATAGATCAAGAAGAAAGACATTAGAAGGAACAGCGCCAGAAATGGGATCAGAAATCCTGTTGCTTGTAAACTGGAGCGCCCTGACATTGGCCAAGTAAGAAATGTTTGGAATAACTGTAAGACAGTTGTTATCTATACCAAACTCACCAAGTGATGCATTGTATGGTCGTAAAACTTCGCTTAACTGACTGGCATTCCATATGTAATTGTAACTGAGTACTAACGTGCTCAGCTTGCTTGTTTGAGGAAGCCACGATATATCTGTTATGTGATTATTGCCTAGATTTAGAGTTTGTAAAGAATTTAAGTTTGAAAGAGCCTTAGGTACCATAGTTAAGCGGTTATTATTTAGGTTGAGGACTGTCAAACTATTGGCCACAGAATCAAATGCTCCATCAGGGATGGAATAAATATCGCCATAGATCATGTTAATTTCGATTAAACTAGTGCAATACTGAACCCACCCGGGCCACGTAGTCACTCCAGCATTGTCCACATTGAGTGACTTTAAGGATCCACCAATATTCCTCCAGACGACGTCATTCCAATCTGTAATGTTAGCACCACTAACTGAAACATATGTCAGAGAATGTAAAATTCTGATGGCGTCAGGAAAACGAGTGAATCTGACATTCGAAAAATAAATCGAAGTCAAGGTGTGGACAGAATCAGCAAAGGCAGCGTCGTCTATTGTAGATATGGGACTCTCATCCACATCGAGACTGGTTAGATTCGGCGGCAGGCTTCCTGCAGGTATATGTGAAATGTTTGTGTTCTGTAACAGTAAACAACAGTTAAAATATTTAATACTATTTGGTGGGGATATTCTTTCACATAATTACTTTTTTTTTTTTTTTTTTTTGCACGGTTACACGGTTGCAGTGGGTATGGAGGGAGAACCCTGCAAAGCCACACAGAGAAGAAAATGTACAACAACATTGTCATTGTCCTGTTGTGCTTTTATATGTCACATAGGACTCAAAGTCTATTCCTTCATTCTGATCTATGCTGTGCATTTAGTTCAATATCATAGTTGAAATCCAGCCCAGCACTTTTAGCCTCTTTCATCAATGTTCGCTTTTTTTGTGAGGGGGGGGTTGGGGGGTGGGAGGGGGTCTACGCTTCTTTAATCTTTTTATTACGTAAGTTAGTGCTTATTTTGTGCTTATGTGCATGTTTCTTCCAGAATGTATCCAGTATAGCACCATCTTCTCTGTTTTGTAACCTGTTGATACCAGTGGCTGCCCAGATATTTCTCTTCTGTCTTCACCCCTTTTCAATTCATCCCATTTGATGGACATCATTCTCCTCAGGCATCTGCTTTCTAATGCATTTATTTCTTCGTTCTATGTCTTTAGAGTTTCTCAAACTTTCACTGGGATATGTGAAAACTAAAACAACATTAGAATTTGGAAAAGGGGGGGGGGGGGGGGGGGACCACGTAACTTAGTTTTAAACTATACAATTTAGTGTTTCATATTTTGTTCAGACTATTTAAAGCGGCAAATGTCTTGCCAATGTATGTCATAATCGCTTTCTTTGTGTTTCCTTCACTATTAAAATTAATACCCAAAAAAGTAATACTTTATTTCGTTTTTGTCTTTATATTAAGCCAACTTGATCAGTTATTGGTAACTTCAATAAATTTGTCTTTTCATAACTTATCTTTAGTTCAACAAAAAATGCTAAATTTGCTAAATAATATGATTTTTTATTTTTTATTTTTGGCACGTCATTCCGT